ACTCCTCGACTCGTCGCCCGCATAGTGCAGTGGTTAGAGCGTCTGCTCTAGAGTCGCGGAGTAAGGAGTTGATCCTTACGTCGTGGGTTCGAATCCAACTGTGGGAAGTGGAGACCGGTCCTTCGGATGAGACCGTATAAACCGATGTCCCGTGTCGCAGTAGGTGCTGGCAGGAAAAAGATCCCTCACTGCTCAATGGCCGTAAGCGCCGAGTATAGGACAAAATTTGCAGCACTCCACTGGCAAGTGGTGGCGTCTCCATATGAGTGAAAAATTCTCGAGAGGGACGTTAATCAACATAAAAACAAACAAACAAACTCCTCGACTCTAAAGCAAATGCTCTAACCATTGCACCATGCAGGTGACTTTGATCTCCATGCCTCAAAGGAAATGACTTGATAGCCTCTTATAGGAGTAATTGTCACTGACTATATGCACTACCTATGTAGTCACATAAACCAAATACTGCTGCTCTTTGAGACATAGTTTATAAGTCTTATATAGTGCACTTAAAATAAGTCAAGATTCCAAAGAATTTTAAACATCCCATTCATTCAAAGAGTTAAAAATAATCAATACCTCAGGAAGTTTCGACAATTCTTAGATTTGAAAAATATTTGCTCAAATTGAATTAGATTTCATATTTTATTCTGTTTATGTCAAACATGATGTTCTATTTATTAACAATTGATTTCTCTCCTTGGTAAAATGATTTTTTACTGTTTATTTAACGTCCCTTCGAGAATTTTTTACTCATGTTAAGAAGCCACCACTTCCCTGTGGAGGGCTGCAAAATTAGACCTGAACTCAGCACTTATGGCCATTTATATTAGCAGTAAGGGATATTTTGTGCAAACACCTACTGCAACAAAGAACCTGCTTTATACGGTTTCATCCAAAGGACCGGTTTTCAGGTCCCACAATGGGATTAAAACCCTTGAAGTAAGGATCAACTCCTTACTTTGCAACTCTGGAGCAAAAGCTCTATACTCTATGCCACGTGGCGACTGGTAAATTGATAAACATGTACTAAATATGTTGACTCTACCACAGGCCTCTATGTGACCTCTAAAATTTAGGCACCAACTGGCTCCTTATGAAAAAAAAAATTTAGTCACCAATGCAAATTTTTAGCCGCCAGGTAAATTTTTCTTAGGCACCAATCTAAAAACTGATATTAGTCAATATTAGAGACATGTCCATTGCTTCTTTTCGGCTCTTTCTAAAAAAAAAAAAATTGAAAATGTTTATAGTTCAGTAATTTGATGATCACCAAGCCAATTTAAAATGGTTGCCAATTTGGCGAATTCTAGAAAAATTTTAGGCACCAATCATAATTTTTAGGTGCTATTGCGACTTAATTAGTCGCCAATTAGACCTATACCATATATCGCATACCCTGTAATTGTTTTCACTATCTGCACATTTTTGATTTTTTTGCCTTTACAAATCAACTTGGTTATAAAGATACACAACTGTATAATTTTTGTAAAACAGCTGGATTTTTAAGTTAAATTTCTTTTGGTTTAAAGCTAAGAAAACTTAGATATTATAGCTAAAGGACTGGTTATTAAGGGACAAGCTTAAGTATTTCTGACACATTTATTCTATCCCCTTTAAAATTACCATGGGGCTATAGATACAGGTTGGTCATGTGATCAAATCCCATGGAATCCAAAGGGCTTTATGGTAGGTAACAACATATGACTATAGTCCCATAGATGATAAAATATTATACTTTTTCATGTTACATTTTGCCCATATATGAAGCATTAGAGTATTATAAATTGTGTATAAAACATTGATGTTTTTACTTTGAATTTCAAATGTCAAGCGTCACCTGTGTGGCGCAGTGGTTAGAGCATTTGCTCTAGAGTCGCGGAGTAAGGAGTTGATCCTTACGTTGTGGGTTCGAATCCCACTGTAGGACATGGAGACCGGTCCTTCGGATGAGACCATATATATCTAGGTCCAGTGTCGCAGTAGGTGCTGGCACGAAAAAGATCCCTCACTGCTCAATGGCCCTGAGTACCGAGTACAAGTCAAAATTTGCAGCTCTCCACCGGCAAGTGGTAGCATTTCCATATGAGTGAAAAATTCTCGAGAGGGACGTTAAACAACAACAACAACAACAACAAATCAAATGTCAAGCTAGAATAAGGAACTACAGCATTGAACTATTGACACTTTTTAGTCATTCATAGTTATAAATGAGTCTCCTTGAATCCTAATATTTCTCAGGAGAAAGCACTGCAATTTTAAATAAGTGTTTATTTTCTAGAAACTTTTGTTTGTGCAGGTGTATCAGATGCATTCCAAAAGTGTTCAGTCACTGAAAATTTAAATACAGTTGAACTTTGGTATCTCAAGCACTGATAACTTGAATACCACGGATATGTCAAAGTTAACTGGAAGTCCGAACCACTTATTTTTTAAGAAATTAACACTCGATATCTTGAATACTCCTATATCTCTAAGTTTTTTCAGTTCCATCTATTTTAAAATAATGAGGTTTGACTGTGCATGTTTCTTATTTAGCATTTGATGAATTTCATATGAATCACCAACAAGTTTTCACATTTTGATGCAAACTTTTATAGTTCTAAACAACCAACCACTCATTAATCAATTACTACATATAATTTAAATAAAATAAATTAACAATTAGTTAAAAGTTTATAATTATATACATTTTACCAACTCTTTTTATGTATTCAACTGCAAGATATTATATACATAATTTAAATAAATTCAAATTGATCAGAAATGTCAAAATTGAAAGTTTGAGAAACCTGGCTTCATTTACTGGACAGTACTGAAATTGTAGAAAAGAAGTTCATTCATTTATCAATTTTATGATTCGTTCTAGGAACAGATCAGAAAATATGTTTCAAAAATAAGTAGTATCTATTAAAATAATTAAAAAATCAAAGTGAAGGAACACTTTAGCATATGTGCCTGCCTGTTCATCTATTTGCAATCATACTAATAAATATACAAAGCTGATGTATCAAGATAATAAATGCTACTATATAAGTGAAGCATTTCAAGTAAATCTTTTGGTTGTAACCATTATAGCATTTTGTCGTGTTAAACAGAAAAAGTAATCTAACTATGAAATAGCTCCCAAGTAGTCCATGTTCAAGTACTTCCAAGTTTCTTTGTAACAACCAGTTTTGTACCCATTTTTGCAGATGAGTAGGGCAGTATACATGGACCATATTCAAGATTTAGAGATATTTACGAAATAATGAAAAAGTTTGGTAAAATAATTATAATTTCATTGCCTCAATTGATATAATTCATGTTTCTTTGGATTGAAAAATCTTTATATAACCTTCAATAAAAGTCCTTAATTATTTCCTATGTATCTTAAAACACGAGATCTGATTGGTTAGCAAGCGGGGTGTAAATTTCCTTACACCCAGCTAAAGCTGGGGTGGGGTGGGTGGGGTTAAATAATGTGACATCACAATGAATAGTTTCTATATCAAATAAACACCATACAACATGATGTCACGATGTATTGAAGCATATAGTAAATCAATAGTTTAAAATATTAGTGGAATTGGGTTTACAGAGAAATTATTAGGTTATATAGGAAATAAAGATTTGTTATCCAGGTGTAATCAAGGGTGTACAAAGATTTACCTGTTAGCAAATATAACCTATCACTGGGTCGTATTTTGGCTGACTTGCTTCATACCAATTGTTAGGCCTTTGTTTATATGCTAAATTTGACTATCGAATATTCCATCTACTTGATCAATATATAGGGCTCACAGTGGGTGTGGCCGGTCAACAGGGAATGCTTAATCCTCCTTGGCACGTGATCCCACCTCTGGAATTTCAGGGGGTCTGTGTTTATGCAGTGTTCAAAGATTTGTATTGTTTGTAATTTTTATGAAATAGATCACTGTTCATTATCTTCTCTTTTTCACTCCATATCCATACCCCGCAATCATAACTTTGACCTTTTGACTCCAGAATCAAGAGGAATCATCCTCTCCACTGGAGTAGAGACTGATCTAAAAGCCAATTTGAAAGCAACTAAGTCATAGACACAAATTTAATTAATGATGTACACATACCCTAAATTAAATTAGTGACTATTGTCTGCCCCAAAATAAATACAGGGACCCAAGACTTTATCTTTAAAATAATTAAAAATTCTTTTAAACAATGTATAAGTACTGCACAACAAATGTAAATCACATAACACATAAATATGCATAGACATTTAACACATACAACAGGGTGATTGGGCTATGTGTATGTTTAAGGTGTGCAATAGAACATCTCCTATGACACGATACAATATTTTACAAGATGGTGTGTACATATCGAGTAAATTATGTGATATTTTGTTAGTATATTACTATATAGGTCTCTGGGTATTGCTAAGAGACCCCTAACATAGAATGAAATGCAAGTTGGGACCCATGCATGTAGTTTTCTCGTTTATTTAATTAGACGCATGCAATTTCTTCACTTTAAGAGCATATTTTATGATTAAACAAATGTCATTTCAAACTTTACCAGATATACTGTAATACAGTGCCCTACACTCAGTATATGTACAGGGTGATAAAAAATACATTATCAATATTACCATTTATCATGTTTATTTACCAATAATTTCAAAACTTTTTAATTCTGTATTGCATATTTATGAAAAAATCATGACGATACTATCATCAATTACTTGCAATAGGATTAATCAATAAAATAAATGAATTGTGCATTTCCGTCCTCATCGCGGTGATCACCATCTTTCTTCAGCATCGACTGATACGAGGTTCGACATGGCAATTATGAATAAATATTTATCTTTTTATTCTGTCTTCAAATGCTGTACAGCTGGTCTGAAAAAAATGTGATGGATTACCAGAGGAAATAAGATCTGATTTATTAGAATTAAATGTTCTGTATTTAAAAAAAAAACGGGTTGGCAATTTACGAAACAATAGTGGGTCGGGTTAATTAGCCAACCAAAATGGCAGTACAGGCTCCGACCGAGGACTGAGGAAGCTTAGGATGACTAATAAGAATGGTTGCGGCGAGTGTTTTGTTGTGGAAGTATTAGAAGAATGTGTAAGAAACATACGGTTAGTCGCCTAAGTTCAAATCTATCAAATTCAAAGTTTTAATAAAAAGATATCTACAATTCTACACTTGGACGATACACTGATACACAGTCATTTAGCTGGTACAATCACTAGTGGGGTTAGAAAATAATTTAATTCATAGTTTAACTTGCTGTAATCCTTGTAACAACAGTAAAGCAGTGGAGATACCAAACACCAAAACCAAAAAATATAAAACTCATTTTTTTGTTTGCACTGCAATAGACTGGAGTCATCTGGAAGAGGAAGTAGTTGTAGATAGAATTTTCTAATCATTAAAATGATTAATGTGCTTCAGACCCGGTTTAAGAGAGGTGTGGTGAGGGCTCGTCTGGAGACGCAGTTAGATTATTTAACTAATTTAAAAGTAGTTCGTGCCCCAAAGCTATTAAAGAGTTTTAAGACCGCGTTACAACATCCTGATGACTTAATGCACCCAGGCCTCCATCACATTAAAACCCAAGAGGATTCTTATAAATTTATACTGGTACATAAACAAATTGATTGAAGAAATGCCCATGTAGAAAACGCATGGTTTTTTCTCGTCAATGTCGTAGCATTATCTTGACATATTAGTATTGATAGAATACTTCCAATTACAATTAGGCCAAAATATAAAATACCTTTGTTTCCCCTAACACGACCGACCCACTTAAATCGTGCCGACTGAAAAGTTTTTTTAATAAGATTATTTAAATATTTTTTTTTTATTGTTTATCAAATTTATAAAATACAATTTCATCAAAATCCGTTTTTTATCAGAACGGCGGCTTTTGTTTTACTCTCATTTGGTGCCGACATTTGGCCACAGAGGGTTAGTTCATGTTATAAAACAATGGTGACGTATCAATCTTATTATATCTTTAACTTATTAGAATCCTACACTCTTGAGACATCTCGTGAATTAATGTACCATGACTAAGGAGTGTTAAGATGGTATTTAAAAAATTAACGTACGTAGTAAGCATAGCAAAGCCTGGCTCATGAGTAGATGAGGGGCGCTTCTTGTGAATACATATCAATAAATTTCACTGCATTTGATTTGTTTCGATCTAATAAACAGTTCATGTAAGATCCTATTTTTACTACATAGGACCATAGGAGTTTTAAATATGTCTTTGTATGATTATTTCATTTGATAAATATAATTCAGATGTCGTTTCTTCATTCCTTTTATTTATGGGGTATTGACTCCGTGACTATAAAATTAGATATATGAAACTTTAATCATTTTAGATATGGTTTGGTTGAATTATATATTGTTTATACATGTACATGTACACTATTTCCAAATAGTGTTGAAGTCTTTAAAATTTGCTTATGGTACGGCTTCCTGAGACGGCCAGTTTATTTTGCTTTAGTTAGGCCCTTGAAAACAGGTTGTTTCTTTGCTTTAAAATACCTTTAAAATTTGTTGGGCCGGTGGAAGGCTCCTAATTTAGACTTTTACTCGGCACTTATGGCCTTTGATCATTAAGCATCAGTAAGGGATCTTTTACGTGCCATCTGCATGTATACTCCGACACTGGACCTACGTTTTTTGTCTTATTCGACTGACCGGTCTGCAAGTCCCACGTTGGGACCTGTGATTTAGAATTAGCTCCCGAATTACGTCGTGACTCCAAAACGAAACACTAGAATTACTGTGCTACGCGATGCCCTTGACATTTTGTCTGTGTAAGTACTCTAAGATGATAGTAGGTTTGAAAAATGTACTTGAATGTCCGATGGTTCAGTATTTGCGAATCTTGTGTTTTTTTTGTAAATATTCGATTTCAATAAATTTACGCTGGCCTGAGATATTTTACAAGTTCAAATGAATAATATTTGTGAATTAATTTACCATACATGTTGCTTCATTTGTATGATATTAGGTTTAAAATTGGTTTCTTTTGTTCTTTCTTATTTATAAAGGTATTATTCAATTTTTCAGAATGTATTCCCAAACCTGCTGTCAGAAAAAAAAAATGATTTACCTACCTACCGACCCAACTTGAGATTTTTGGGTCGGGTTTGGGGAAACAAAGATATTTTTAATGATGGCCTTACTTGTTTTTAATTTTAACTTAAAATCATTAAAGTCATGACTGTATTTGTAGACCCCTACAGTTTGGGGTATTTCGAATCCTGTGTGTACATGAGAGCAGGTGAATAAGATACACATGCTGCACACATGTTATATTAATTTTACATGTCAGATGTACACTCAATTTTTAGACAGGACCAAACTTTTACTAGTCAGTGTCGATCAGACATGCCTTATAAATGTTAAACCCTGTGTCCGAATGCATAAATATTTTTTACTTGTCTGATTCTGAACAGATTTAAAGAAATTTGTTGAACTTAATGAAGGCTAAATTAGCTATAAAAATAACTGACTTATTTAGATTTGTGTTATCATGAAGATAGAAATATTAATTGCGCTCCTCCTCTCATTAGCAATATTTATCTAGGTATAACTGAGCGTTAAAGATGGAAAATTTATGCTATGCTACAAGTACATATTTTAACTTCAGTATCTTGAATCGTAGGATATCACAAAGTTTTTTCTAGGACCCATTAGGTTCGATGTTTATATTCTACTCTAAAAGCCTTAAAAATGAGTTTTTATACTACTAGTATCATTTACATTTTTGAAAAACATTTTTTAATAAATTTTTTTATCATGTTTTTATCACAAATATAGTTTCACTATATATACCATGAAGAGTTCACATCACATCAGAAACAGTTAATAACAAATGCTAGAAACAAATACAACAAAACAGAAAGAGTTGTAACACCCTCTTGATCATCCTCGTGTGCTTTTATGCTACATATTATAATAGCTCGGGTTCGAGATTTAATGCTGTTGGTTGCTAAGGCAAATATAAACAAAAAATGGGGCAGAGTTCCTGGGCTCGACATTGTATGCTCATCCACTTGTCCAGTACATGTACCAGTAAAATTTTTCATGAACAAGTGATAATTACTGACCACTTGTCCGATTTGACAAGGGATATTTTTCTAGGAAGAATTTTTTTTAGCTAAGCATGAAAACTTAAAGAATTAAAATTTGTTGTCAACTTTTTATCGGAGGTTCAAAATGAAAACATGCCATGCATGCGGTTTGTAAATAGTTAAATGTTGAATGATCCTGCTCGTAATATTGATGGCCCTGGTTGTCAAACTTGATCAGGAACAATGTTACTATGAAACTTGTCTGAAATATCTGATGTTTTTCAGGCATTTGTCACAATTTTAATTTTAATATTTAAAGTACCAGGAAGTTGACTACTTAGAACTACAGTAACTTTGAAACGTGTACTTTTACTGAAGGAAATTTGGGTTTTTATTATCTGGCAGGAGAGCTTTAGCAAAAGACAATTTAGGCTACAAAGGATAAGCAAAAGAAGGCAAAGAAAAATTTGAGGTCATATAGTCAGCTATTTCTTGTTGTTACTATTTTTCTTTCATACATGTATTACAATTATATAACATGATTTACATCTACTTTAGGATAGGATGATACAGTTTAGTAATTTGCAATAGATGTGTCCACTCAAAATCTCAAAAACAGACTCAATGAATGTATTATAGACTATTGTAATGTACAATATTTTTTCAAATTGTTAAAAAGGTCTTTTATGAAATATTTTTATACAAGTAAAAGTTATGTTCAGACAAGTAAATTTCACAATTGTTGTAAATTTAATGGCATCTTTAAAAACATTTCTTCTCAAGAATCAGTGGACCAGAAAATGAAAATTCTCTGAAAGCTTCATTACTTAGTGTACATTCAGTTTTGTTTAAATCATGACACCCCCCCCCCCCCCCAGGGTAGGTTGGGGCCACAATGGGCAATCAAATTTTTACGTATGAATAAATATACATCATCATGTGTAGTAAAAAAAAAAGTAGAACAGCAAGGCCATAGTGACTCGGGTGAGCATTGTTGCCCATGGCCACTTGTTCTTTTTACAGGCATTTTTTACTTTGACAAATTGCACTTTAATAATATAATTATAAGCTTAAATTGGATAATATTTTATTAACCATAATATTGTTAATCAAACTTTGGTGAAACTGTGAAATTAACTTGTCAAATGAGTAGAAATTTTTTACTGAATCTAGATATGGATATACAGTTCTTCAACATTTAAACTTTTACTGTGGCTCACCACACATAAACAAAAATTTTTGGAGATCAATAACATTTTGTCGAAATCAAAGACAAAACCAAATGCTTGGGTATTTATTTACAAAGTTTGATTTGTTAATTTTTTACCATATGCATAATTTACCCTTTCTTTCCAGTAGACCCTTGTTATGCCATGCTTAGCTTAGAGCCAGGAATAGCAAATCAAAATGAACTTAGTCAGTTATTGTTCTTTGTAGAAAGAGACAATTTCTTTTCAGGTTTTCTTTTTCAGTTTCTCATTTTAGGCCTACAGTATTTATTTTTTACTCAAATATTACGACTATTATACTTGTAGGCAATCAATGAATTTAAGGAATACTCTTTTTTTAGGTGCTCATGATGCAACTTCCTGGATGGTGTGTAAACTGTTTATCAGCATGTGAAATCCACATGATTGAAGGTATCTTACCTATCAGTAATATCAATTTTCTCTATTAAAAGCTGCATAAGGAATTTTTTTATTTCTGGTCTCAAATTTTTGTCCAAGCATCATTCATTTTTTCTTCATCTTTTATCTAGTGAGGGTCATATTAATTGATTAATTTAATCAAGGCTTTATAGTAAAATATAGTGAATTATGTTCTTGTGTATGACCTTTAAAGGGGCATAGACTCAGATTTGAAGTTAATATTTTCTAAAATTTTTGACTAGATCATGACATATGTGTGGCTATAGTATTTCACAAGGAAATATCATAAAAATAACTTATTTTACCTGAAAATTATTGAAACTACGAATTTAGGGACGCATTTGATTGACACATCCTTGCACTTTCACAAAGTAAAACTTCATCCTTGATACTTAAAAAAAGTAGAAATTTTGTTGTGTTTTAGTGAAAAAGATTAAAGATAAAATCCATAAAATTCAAAGTTGAAATGTGAGAAAGCAAAACCAACTCATCAGTATTGTCAGTCCGTGCTCAGTGATGTGTGCAGAGTTTAACAAATTGAACACACCCAATGGAACATAAATTGTTTTGTGTTCAATTTGTTAAACTCTTCACACATCACTGAGCATGGACTGACAATACTGGTTAGTTGGTTTTGCTTTCTCTCATTTCTACTCTTAATTTTCTGGATTATATTTTTTTTATATTTTTTCATTAATATGTATCAAAAAACCTACTTTTCTTAAGTATTAAGGATGAAGTTTACTTGTGAAAGTGCAAGGATGTGTCAATCAAACGCATCCCGAAATTCATAGTTTCAATAATTTACAGATAAAATAAGTTTTTTATTATATTTCCGTGTGAAATGCCATAGCCACATATATGTCATGATATATTACAGACAATTTGAGAAAATATTTCAAAATGTCGAATCAGTGTCTATGTCCCTTTAAGAGTAACAGGTAACTTCACTTTTGAAAATAATTTTTCTTATTTCAGGAGAAGTCTTCCTTGTTAAAGATCAGCAACGGCAGATAAACAATGCATGATGCAATCTGCTCACTAAAAAGATTACACCAATACATCCCATGACATGTATTTCTACCTATCACCTATGTAACCTTTGTCATGCTCTTCAGAGAGGTAAGAAAACAAAATAATTATGAAAAAAAATTTTGGTGAAAGCGACACTTAGAGATCACTTTACATGGTGTCTGTCTGTCTGTCATACCCTAGATCCTGAGAACTGTAAGAGGAATGGATTTGATACTTTGCACTTGCATTGCTTGGCACTTTGGCTTTTGTAAAATACTATATACAGTCAAACTCGTTTACATTGAAATTTAAGGGACCTTGAGATTTATTTCAAATTAACCGAATTTCATTATATCTGTGTGCTATGAATTACATAAAAAATGTAGATACAGTTGAACTTCATTATCTGGAACACTGATATCTTGAATACCATGGATATGTCAAAGTGATTTGCTGTTAATACCACTTATTCTTTAAGTATTTTACCCTCCATATCTCGAATCCTCAGATATCTCGAAGTTTTTTCTTGGTCCCTTCAAGTTAGAGGTAACGAGGCTTGACTGTACAGTAAAAAAAAATATACATGTGAGAATTCATATTTTTTACATAACATTACATGCAGTGTTTCAGAAATTTACTTATCTCTATTTTTCAAAAAAGTCCTAAATTTTTTTTACTGTTTTATTTTTTTTTTTTTTTGGATCTGTGTTAGAAAACTATCAAGACTATTTATACACGAAAAAAGTTCGTCCTGAACATTGCCGCATAGAAGCAATGATTTGTCAGGTTCGAATCTATAGAACAGCCCTGTCTCATCAGCATTGAAAACATATGCTTCATATACTTCAATTCAAGAAGTTTATTTTCCATTTACTTAATTACAGTGGATTTATTTACTCAGGCACTTTCTCCACTAGGGCTGTGTCAATATATTGATTAATCAATACATATCGATATTCAGGAATTTATCGTATCGACAAACTAACTTCCAATACGTATTGGGCAGACAGTTTTTTAGGTCACCTGAGTCACTCAGGTGACCTATTGCAATCTGTTTTCGTCCGTCGTCATCCGTCGTGCGACGTGCGTCGGTCATAAACTTTTGAACATTTTTAGCTTCTTCTCTTGAACCACAGAACCAATTTCAACCAATTTTGGCATATAGCATCAACGGGTGAAGGGGTACAAAAATTGTGAATTTCATGGTCCATACCCCCCTGGGGCCTGAGGGGTGGGGCTAAAACCATCAAAATTAGTGCTATCTTTAAAAATCTTTTTCTTTACTCCTGGACATCAAGCAGTCAAACTGTTGGCATGATTGAAATAAGCATTGAGCCCTCTACCAAAATTGTGAAATTCATGGCCCCAGGGTCAGGGGTTCTGGTGCTAGGGTTGGGCTATATAGATCATATAGTGAAAGTGCATTATTTCTTTGAAAATTTTCTTCTCTTCTCCTGGGTATTATTTAAACAAACTAAGTGCATGGTTATGACAAGCAATGGTGCCTTTTCCAAAATTGTGAAATTCATGGCCCCTGGGTCAGGGGTTCTGGTGTTAGGGTGGGGCTCTATTGATTATATAGTGAAAATGCATTAATTCTTTGAAAATCTTCTTCTCTGCTCTTGGGTATTATTTAAACAAACCAAGTGTATGATAATGATGCACAAGGATGATTTTTCCAAAATTGTGAAATTCATGGCCCCAGGGTCAGGGATTCTGGTGTTAGGGTGGGGCTCTATTGATTATATAGTGAAAATGCATTAATTCTTTGAAAATCTTCTTCTCTGCTCCTGGATATTATATAAACCAACTTAGTGCATGGTTATGATAAGCATTGATGCCTTTTCCAAAATTGTGAATGTCATGGCCCCAGAGTCAGGGGTTCTAGTGGTGGGCGGGGCTCTATTAATTATATAGTGAAAATGCATTAAGTCTTTGAAAATCTTCTTCTCTGCTCCTGGGTATTATTTAAACAAAACAAGTGTATGATAATGATGCACAAGGATGATTTTTCCAAAATTGTGAAATTCATGGCCCCAGGGTCAGGGATTCTGGTGTTAGGGTGGGGCTCTATTGATTATATAGTGAAAATGCATTAATTCTTTGAAAATCTTCTTCTCTGCTCCTGGATATTATATAAACCAACTTAGTGCATGGTTATGATAAGCATTGATGCCTTTTCCAAAATTGTGAATGTCATGGCCCCAAAGTCAGGGGTTCTAGTGGTAGGGCGGGGTTCTATTAATTATATAGTGAAAATGCATTAAGTCTTTGAAAATCTTCTTCGCTGCTCCTGGATATTATTTAAACAAACTAAGTGCATAGTAATTGTGCACAAGGATGTTTTTTCCAAAATTTTGAAATTCATTTCCCCAGGGTCAGGGGTTCTGGTGCTAGGGCGGGGCTATATAGATCATATAGTGACTTTGAAAAATCTTCTTCTCTACTCCTGGGTATTATTGAAACAAATTGAATACATAGTTAGAATAAGCAAGGGTGACTCTACCAAAATTGTGAAATTCATGGCCCCAGGGTCAGGGATTCTGGTGGTAGGGCGGGGCTATATAGATCATATAGTGAAAGTGCATTATTTCTTTGAATCTTCTTCTCTACCCCTTGGTATTATTGAAACAAATTGAATACATAGCTATAATAAGCAAGGGTGACTCTACTAAAATTGTGAAGTTCATGGTCCCAGGGTCAGGGGTTGTGGTGTTAGGGTGGGGCTATATACATCATATAGTGAAAGTGCATTATTTCTTTGAAAATCTTCTCCTCTACTCCTGGGTATTATTGAAACAAATTGAATACATAGTTATAATAAGCAAGGGTGACTCTACCAAAATTTTGATATTCATGGCCCAAGGGTCAGGGATTCTGGTGGTAGGGCGGGGCTATATAGATCATATAGTGAAAGTGCATTATTTCTTTGAAAATCTTCTTCTCTACTCCTGGGTATTATTGAAACAAATTGAATACATAGTTATGATAAGCAAGGGTGACTCTACCAAAATTGTGAAATTCATGGCCCCAGGGTCAGGGATTCTGGTGGTAGGGCGGGGCTATATAGATCATATAGTGAAAGTGCATTATTTCTTTGAAAATCTTCTTCTCTACTCCTGGGTATTATTGAAACAAATTGAATACATAGTTATGATAAGCAAGGGTGACTCTACCAAAATTGTGAAATTCATGGCCCAAGGGTCAGGGGTTCTGGTGCGCCAGACTCTATTGATAATATAGAGAATCTGTAGTAAAAATGCATTATTTCTTTGAAAATCTTCTCTGCACCTGGACATATCAGAAGCAAAAAGAGTAAAAGTTTTAATATAAAAAAGATTTTTGAACATCTGGACCATTTGGTCAAGTGTTCTGGTCCTGGCCAGAGCTCTATTAATTTGTATTCAACTGAGAGGAGTTATTCCCCTTTGCTATTTACTTTTGATAATTAATCACTGTAAATAATGTACTTGAAAGGTTAATAGAAGAGGAGAATTATGCAAGATTTTTTATTGTATAATACAAAAAGTACTTTTATAGTTTAAATGATTAGGTAGACTTGTAAGTAATAGATAAATAAAAATGAGACAAAAATAAGTTGTCTTATTCAATGCTCATCAAAGACCAAGAGAGTCCAATGTAAGGGATTTCATCAAGGAATTGAAATAGTACAGAATCACTGATAATTTGTTCATATATTGTATGGTGATAGTGATAAATGGGGAACAGATTAGAACCTAATTTATGAACTGTTAATGAACAGTAGACTAATTATTTTGTTGATCCTAATCACCCTATTTTTCTTGCTTTTGGGCAACAAAGCTTCACCTTTCAGTTCATTTTATACTCTGTGGATCCTCTAAATTGTTGTATTATACTCAGGTGACCGTTAAGGCCCTTGGGCCTCTTGTCTTATAATTCTGTGAAAAAGTTGGGAATTTCAGTCACCAAAGATAATTTTTAACTGTTTTTAATTAAAACTGGTCAATAATAAAATAAACATTAAGGAGATAGCACATCTTAATTAACTATTGCAAAATTCATATACAACTATATTTTAACATATTAGTTTTTCAGTCATTAAAAGTTTGAATTTGAAGTGTTCTTTGTAAAGACAGTGAGACATATGAACTTCCAATTTGGTATTAAAACACCCAGTTTTTATCAAATTTATGCATTAAATGATTTACAAGACCTTTTTGCTAGACTTATTAAAGAATCTAATATATTGCATATTGCTTTATAAAATATCTTATTGAAATATTTTGGTCAATACACAGCCCTATTCTCCGCACACCAATGTACACATGGCACCCCTGCGTATTTTATCCATGTCGGTCTTAATGCCGTAGTTAGAAAATAAAAACGGCGACTAATATGTTCATATAATTAAAGTTGCACAGGTCCACCAACATCAAATCACCTGTGAAAAATTAACATGCTAGACTTTATATATAGTCAGTCACCTGAGTCCACGCATCGCAATCGGCAACTTCAGTGTACCCGCTATAAGCTTTGTGTTCAGCGGACCCCAAAATCACTTCAAATTAACAGAGTTTTTCAAGTTAACCGATTTCAATCTAAACGAGTATTTATTGCAAAGAAACTGTACCAGCATTTTAGGAGAAACCCAGTTCATTTCAAACAAACCGATTTTTCAAACAAAGAGAGTTCAATGCAAGTGAGTTCGTTACATTACAATTCAGTTGACCTTGACCTTTGATTTTATAAAATCACTCTGGCGGTTGATTGAATTATTATTATTTTTTTCTTTGTTTTTTGATTTTGAGAGGCAGGATTTTGATAATTAGCATTTATATCACATGTTACTGTATATGAGCTCATGACACTGTACTTTGAAACTGTATGCAATATAACCACACAAACTGAAATTTAAATACTGTAACAATGAAAAGACATCAGGATGGGTATACCAAAAGTATCATTATAGAGTGAATAGAGACTGAAATCTCTTTTGGAAGATATCTGGGATAAAGATATATTTATTAAAAATAATTATTTTAATTATTATACCCCCACTCCGAAGGAGAGGGGGGTATACTGTTTTACCCTTGTGTGTCTGTCTGTCTGTCTGTCTGTGTGTCTGTCTGTCTGTCCGTAACAAATATTTCTTCACAGTTTTCTCAGCAACTACTCATCGCAGATGCTTGAAATTTTAGTACACACTTTATTGAGGTATGCCATATGGTGGGATTCATTTTCGTACGAATCTGATTTCAACTTCCTGTTTATCCGTGTGTCTGTCTGTACCATACATAACAAATTTTGGTTGCAGTTTTCTCAGCAACTACTGCTTGCAGATGCTTGAAATTTTAGCACATTCTTTGTTTAGGCATGCCATATGGTGGGATTTATATTTGTACGAATCCGATGTCAACTTCCTGTTTATCCGTGCATCTGTCCGTACCATACATAACAAATTTTGGTCGCAGTTTTCTCAGCAACTACTGATTGCAGATGCTTGAAATTTTAGCACACTCTTTGTTTAGCCATGTCATATGGTGGGATTCATTTTTGTACAAATCCGATGTCAACTTCTTGTTCATCCTTGTGTCTGTTCATAACTGAACTTGTGTATATTCACATCAGAATGTATATTCACATCAAAGCGGGGGTATTACTAGTGAACATTGGCTCACAGACTTCTTGTTAATTTCAATTTTATAATTCACTTTAGCTTTGAAGGGTGGAGAATCATATATCTATTGTCAGATTTTATATGATAAATGCTATTCTGTATGGGACTTACTATTTGTGGATTTTTTTTCTTTGCTATATAAGGGCTATTTTGAAATTAATGAGACATTTACTTTTACTCCATAAAAGAAAGACATAAATTCATGAAAATTTGTCAACATTTTAACAAGAACAAATAAAACAGCTATGCAAAATTTCTAATTGATAGGATAATTAGACATGTCCCATTGGAATTATAAACTTGCATATGTCTATTGAACTAAAGCATCATTGCTTCTTCATTTTCATCTCATGCCAGCCATAGATCTTTACCATGTTGAGACAGTCTGGAAGCTTTAATGCTTCTTTCTCTGTCATCACAGAAACTACTCAACTGATTGAGATGAAACCTTTTTAGGGTTAACAGGCATGTTGTGTAGATGTGCAGAAGGAAGGTCATTTTACCCACACTTGCATGCACATGCGTGCGCGTTCAAGGAGTGAAATGACTGAAGCAATTGAAACACCATTAACCTTCCTGTTTTTTTTTATGATATGCTTTGAACTTCATTGTATAAACTTGTATTAGTGGTGTAGACAAGAAGATGTGGTTGAATTAGCAAGAAAGCATGTTCATGCATGTGTGCTTTGCTCTGTTTGACTGACACAAAAAATCTCAATAACCTTTTTTTTTTTGATGAAATGCTTTGAAATTTAAAACATAGTCATACACAACAAGGCTCTACATTTTGATATAATATATGAGATATTGTGAAAACACGCTCATGCAAGTGTGCTGCAATTTGATTGGCTAAAACTTTAAATGGCTGTTACAGTAGTAACTTTCTTATTTTTTAACAAAACTGGATGGAATTTACAATATAGATAGGTGTAATGGGTTCCTACATTGTGCTACTATGAAAATTGAATGCAAGGATGATACACCTCCTTCACGGTTCGATACGTATTGTATAATTTTGTCTCGGTTCGGTTATTTTCGATACGATACATTTTGATAGAAGGAAACAAATTCAACGTTGTTTTATGCTTTCTTTTTCTAAATCTAGTCACATATTTTACGAATTTTATTTGCAAATTGACTAGAAGAAATTGATTAAAATTATTTGACTGTAAAAAATTATTTTACAAGCTATCAGTCATAAAAAAATTACGTTTTCTATACTTATTTATACTGAGTAAAGTGTTTTGCCTTATGCCAAACCCGACTGAATAACGATCCCGATCGAAAAATGAACCGAACCGAAAATTAGAGATTTTGCACCGTGTATCAAACCGAGAAAAAATACCGCGGTGAATCGATACCGCGCTGAACCGTTTCACTCCAACAAGGATGTGGATTCTGATTTGCTAATACTTCTCTCATAGTTTTCAATGAAAATCTTTAGATTTCTTACATAGCTATTTATTGTGAGTCTCTTCACGAGGAAGGAATATGAAATATTTAGAAAATATGGGCATGTGCATGCGCTAGAGGTGTAACAATACAGCAATACATCAATCATATTGATCGCAAGGGCTGACGATACGCGTATCGCCATGTATGTATTGTGATACAGTAGAAGATAATTTTCATTGTTTTGTTTGTAACTTCTACATTCAACCTAACAAATTTTAATGTTTTAAAATGGCTGAAAAAAGGTAGCAAAGAAAAAATACAATATCAAGACTATAAATCCACCTTTTATTAACTTTGATAAGGGTTATCAAGATATTCTTTGTATATTTTCTATAACTGTGGAGTTAGCAAAGAATTATATGTTAAGATAAAGCTTAATTCAATTGGTGACAGCTTTATCATTGTACATGTTGTATATCACATGACCGTATCATGATATGTATCATATTGTTAGGTAGTTTGCGATACTCAGGCCCAACATGCGCTGAAATCCAATTGGCTAATACTCGAAGAACTATACCAGTGTTGTTTTTCAAATAAATACTACTGAAAATAAAGTATAGATTTATTAAACAAAAGAATTGCATAATTAAATGAAGCCTGTAATGAATGGGGCCCATAAGAGAATGGGGAAGTGTTTGGGGAACATCTGAAACAGTTCTCGTTACAGTTAGCACTAGTTGTTATTGTTTTAGCAGATCTTTTAGTCTGGAAAAGAGTTCTCCACAGAGCTACGTAAAATTCTATAGGTATGCTCGCTGTGTCGCGTTGACGTCAAAATCTTTTTTATTGATGTAATCAGATATCTATACCTAGCTTAGATTTTTTTATGATCTCCATATTTCTGATTGAAATTCTAAGAAGCTTGCACAAAATGAATTGAAATGAAATTGAAAAAATAAATACCGATATATAATTTGAATTATTTTCGCTCTTGCTGTATATGGGTCCACTGGGAGTTTGAACATAGGTATAACATATTTCAATATATGATTTCTTGACGGCACCGGGTACCCCTTCTATTTACCCATAATATACCATTGAAAAGAAGAAATAAAATATTTGTAAAATATTTGTTGCTTTTATTAATTCTTAGTGTTTGTCAAACATATATGCCATTTTTCACCAAAAGGCATTACTTGGAAAGAAAAATAAACACTATGTACTAATAATCTCTTAACAGCCCTCATAATGCTTGTATCAAATAATATTTGACCACCCTTAGATTTTCTTTTAATTTTAAATAATGATGCTGTTCATCAGGCGACACATGTGTTCCTTGGAACACTTTTAATTTTAGCTAGCAAGATTATTTGGACTTAAAAGTCAAGTTAATAATCTTCTAACAAACATTTTCTTCTGTCATGTTTAATTCATGGTCACTAGGACACTGAAATTTCCACTCATTGCTTTTCAGTCATCGATAGGAAAAGGAATTACCAGTAAGTTGACAGGACTTTCCACACTGTTTCTGGTAGCAGCTTATGATTGAATTGATGATAGAAGACATGGCCCACTTAATCAAAGGTAAATCTCATGGAATAGTGCTAATAGTACTGATATTTTTTTTTACTCTGTTTTGCATTGAAGCTTTAGGTCAAAGGCAAATTTTCTTTGTGTGGATTCCTTTATTCTTCTCAGAAATGTGTGGCTGCTAATTGAGCCATAGCTGTCTGTTTTCTTTGAGAATCAAAGAATTGCAGCAAGTCTTTTAGGTTTTCAATGAAATTTCCTTGTTTTTCAGATAATCTGTATAGAGTGGCACCTTAACCACCACTGGTGAAATAGAAGATGACTAGTGGATGGTCATCACTTTGCAGCTCACTTTCACTTTCTGCAGCCCATCTCTTCTCATCCACAATCATTGTCTTTGGAGGAATGGTGACAGTGCAGTCCTCATGGCTGGGCAGGTAACTTCCTTTCCTTTATTTCTCAGCTTTCACCTTTCTTACAAAATTTATTTCCATAGAACACTGCTACAATTTTCTTCTTCTAAGAACACAGTATATGTCACTTGGGTAGCAGCTTAGAATTGGGTTTTCCCAATGGCACTGAAGGTGGCATTTTTGAATTGAGCATCTCCTTCCACTCTGATACATGTATCAGGAGTCCCCATTTTTCATTTAGATCCTGAATGTTCTGTCTTATATTCATCATGCTGGTCTTCTACCCCCACAATAAAGGTTGGGGGAATATATAAGAATCACCTTGTCAGTCTATCGGTGCCAACTTGTTGGTCATTGGAAGCTCAAACTTGGTACAAAGAATGTTTATGACCTGTTGGTGTGTCAAGATCTTGACCCAAGGTCATTCCAGCTAGTTCAACAGGGTTTGACACTAAGGCATGTTTGACCCAGTCTAGTAAATGAGTGGTCCAGTCGTGTAAAAGACCAATTGGTCGTATTGATAAAATAACTGTTGAACCCCCATTTCAGTCCTTCAAATAAATAATCTAAAAACTTTTAAAGAAAGAACAAGGTATGGTAACGGCCGAATCTGGCCCCTTGTTTGATGTAAAAATCAGAACACAGTTAAAATTGTGATAGTTTGTAGGTAAGAATTAAAAATATAATGCTTGTCTTAAAACCAGCACTAATCTTGATTCAAAGCTTACATGGAGGCCACAAGAGGGTGTAGAAGTAGGTTATTTTCCAGAATTTCCTCAATTCTGGTTGCATTTCATCAAATTTGCAGGGGTTGAAATATATGGTTGCCCGATGCCCGGGGCTAGTCAATTTAAGACTCAGGCTAGCTAATTCAGATGTAATCGGACTAGCAGAATGGGGAAAAAATCTCAACAGTTTACTTTCACTTTTCTATGTCGAGTGGTTTCATTAGATTGAGAATTACATTGTAGTTTAATTTGTTTCTGTCACCACAGCCTTTAAAACTTTTACTTGTTATGTTTTCATTTCGCATGAAAAAGTTGTTGGGCTAGTTAGTTTGAGGTTTGGGCTAGTAATTTTTTACTGGTCAATAGCCCCTGGGCTTGTGGGTTTTCCAGGAAAATTTAAACCCCTGATTTGAGATACTTTTCACTTTGGGAAATATAGAGCACAAGGCTGCCTATCTGAGATTTTTATACATAAGATGCATCTGATACTATTGTATGAAATATATAAATTTGGTAGATAGGCAAGCTTGTGCTCTATGTTTTCTGAACCAAAATGTGCTGTAAAACCAATGAAAATTTGCATAAAATGAGAAAATTCAGAAACTGACATTTTTCCTGACCTTCCTGTGGCCTCTGTGTATCCCATAACTTAGAAACAATACTCAATTTATGGCAGGGGTGACAACAGGTTTTTAACTGAAAAACTGTTGCAACATTCTAAAAGACACCCCAAACCAGGGGCCAAAAAGGAATCTTAGCCTATCTTATCCTTTCTTATATGTTAGATTGTAAACAGTCATTGCTCTGTAAAGAAAAAATCCCCACATGACCCAATCACTATTTTTAGCCACAGCTGTTATTAACAAGTCGAGGGCAAAATTACTTTTGTTCAGTACAATGTTTCAATATGATGTAAATAGTTATGTTTAGTATAGTTTTAAACTAATTTATTAATATTAACGATAATTATTTTATGAAAGTTTGTCGAATCTTTAAGGCTTATATTGCTCAAATGTCCTGATGAACCCGACTTGATTGGCGGGATCCCATCAAACAGTCTGTCAAAATTCAAGGTCACTGACAGAAATGATATAAACTTCTTGTCCAGGATATCAGTTTGCAATGGAGAATCATTGAAGCTCATTCTTGGTACAAAGATTATTGAAGACCTGAGAGTGTGTCATGACCTTGGCCCATTGCAATTCTGGCAAGTTCAAGGTCACTGGCTTAAAAGGTATAAAACACTTGTGTAGGCTGTAACTTTGTAATGGAGAATCATTGGAAGCTCTTACTTGCTAAAAAGATTGTTTATGACCTGGAAGTTTGTCTTGACCTTGACGAAGGTCATTCTGGCAAGTTCAAGGTCACTGGCAGATAAGAGATAACATTCTTGTCCAGTCAATAACTTTGTAACTGAGCTTTAATTTGCTACAAAATTTTTTTTCTGACCTGAGGGTCATTGTGACAAGTTCAAGGTCTCTGGCAGAAAAAATGTAAGTCTATTATTTTGTATTAATGGAGAAAAATTGGATGTCCATATTTCACTCTTAGATTAATCATGTCGAAAGATCTGTCCTTTTTTTACCAAAGTCATTTTGGTAAGTTCAAGGTCACATTTACAAATTCTAAATAAAAGAATTGCAGCAGGGTTATAACCTTATTATTTTGTTAGCTCGCTCACAGCACCTTTAGCTGACATAAGTGATGTAATAATTTTTCTCACTTTGTTTCAGGTCTACTGCATGTTGACAGCTGATACTTGTTCTCTATTTACTCCAAGAGGCCTACTACACATTGTACCTCAGTTATGACTGTACTCGTGCTGGCTTCTATGATGTTAATTTCCTTTACCTGCACTGCATTAAACTTGGTCAATTCTGTTACTGTCGAACACCAACAGATGAAAATAAGATTAAGCTGATCCTGCCAACATTGTGACATAAGCGGTCCAATGTCCAATATCTCACTCTGCAGTCAAACATCATTTTTTTTTTTTTATGAACGCTCAGTAAAACATTGGAAATGTTAGACTTTTTTAGTATTGATTTATATAGTTACATATTTTTAAAGTAATAACAATTCTTTTTATGCTCCCGGATCGAAAGATGTTTTTGTCCTGTCTGTCTGTTTGTCTGTTTGTCTGTTGTCAACTTTAACCTTGCCCTTAACTTTTGATTGGTTGGAGCTATGACTTTCGTATTTCACATGTGTATTTCTTGTGACAAGATCTTTCTTTGGGTACAAGCATATTTGACCTTTGACCTTGGCCATAACTTCTGAACAGTTGGTGCTTGGGGTTTCAAACTTCACATATTCTTTTGTATTCTTTGTGACAAGGCCTTCCTTTGGATACCAACAACTTTGACCTTGACCTTGACCTTGGAGTTTGACCTACTTTTGAAAAACTTTAACCTTGGTCATAACTTTTGAACGGTTAGAGCTAGGGCTTTCATACTTTACATATGTAATCCTTGTGACAATACCTTCCTTTGGATACTAACCACTTTGACCTTTTGACCTTGACCTAGGAGTTTGACCTACTTTTGAAAAACTTTAACCTTGGCCATAACTTTTGAATGGTTAATGCTAGGGCTTTCATACTTCACATATGTAATCCTTGTGACAAGACCTTCCTTTGAATACCAACCACTTTGACCCTTTGACCTTGACATAGGAGTTTGACCTACTTTTGAACAACTTTAACCTTGGCCATAATTTTTGAATGGTTGGTGCTAGGGCTTTCATACTTCACATATGTAATCCTTGTGACAAGACCTTCCTTTGGATACCAACCACTTTGACCCTTTGACCTTGACATAGGAGTTTGACCTACTTTCGAAAAACTTTAACCTTGGCCATAACTTTTGAATGGTTGGTGCTAGGGATTTCATACTTCACATATGTAATCCTTGTGCCAAGACCTTCCTTTGGATACCAACAACTTTGACCTTGACCTTAATGTTTTACTGACTTTTAAAAAACTTTAACCTTCGCCATAACGGGGGCATCAGTGTTTCACAAACACATCTTGTTATTGATGTATGTTTAAGTATGCAAAAATGAACATTGATGATATTAAAGGTGAGGTATTTATTTGTGATTTCTCTTCTGAATAAAATTTTATATCAATAATTTATGCTCTTGTTTATACAAACTGCAAATGAGGCTTTCTATTCATCAGGAACTGGACCCATAATTACTTCCTTAAGGAGGAATGCCACACCAAAATTTAATTCCATTGGTATTAAGACATCCATGTTAAGGAAGCTCTGAACACTAATGAAAAATGCTTTTTGGGCTTTGAGAAAAATATATCATATAAAGGTGCACATATTCAGTGTATCAAGTTCATTTTCAACATAGGGTACCTGCCTTATTTCTGCAGAAAAAATGTTCAAAGACAATGAACTACACTGTATTTGTGAACAGATTTCACTGTTTTTTACTTGCATCAGGAAAATTAATGGAAATAATGTATTCAATTACTTAATCTTGGTCTAACATAACATTAAATAATACTTTAATTCATAAGAAATTGTGTGATTAACTGTAGATTCCCATTTATACTATTTTTCTTCTAAGGGCAAATGACCCAATAAAACTACCCTACAAATAGAACTCTTTAGTGTGCAGTGTTTAGAGCTTCCTTAAGTCATGGTTTCAGCATTGAAAGGCCTAGCTCTTAATTATTTTATAAGAATTTTCTCCAATTTTTCATAGAAAATGAAAAAAAAATGTTTTATTTGCAAATAAGATGCTTTATAGTTAAAAATTTGATGTTAATGAATGCATAATATAAATATCTCATAAAATATGTGAAGAAAAGCCAGGTAGACATTTTAATTTTTTTACTAAAAATTTTTTTTCAAAAAGTACATTATTTGTGAATATTTTCAAAACATATGGATAATATATTCAAAAAACAAGTCACAGCTACAAAGGATATGTTAGACAATCATATTTGAAAAAGAAATTATGTTTTACAAATTTTAGCCGATCCCGATCGAAATTAAACTGATCCCAACCAGAATTTTATAATAATTGATAATAGATAATATTTTCAGAAGAAATACAAGTTTGTTAAGGTGTAATTCGCGTTAAAAAGTAATTGAACTTGATAAATAAATAAATTTCTTAGTGGTAAATACTTAAAGAAGGCAATAATTTCATCTTATTTATTTTGTGTTAATTTTGATCGGGATTGGTCTAAATATTGAAAAAAATAGTTTCCCTAAAATTTTGCAATTTCTTTCCAATTTCTTTTTAAAATATGTTTGACTAACATGTTCTCCATAGTTCTGACTAGTTTTATGAAGATTTTATCCATAGGCTTAAAAAATATTCACAAATAATGTGTTTTATTTTCATAAATAAATTTTTTACTTAAAAAATTTAAATGTCTATCCAGGTTTTCTTTAGATATTGTATTACACATTCATATTATGTATTCATTAACAGCAAATGCTTAAATTTGTTGTTTATATCAAAAATATTTGTAAGAAAAAGCTTTCCAACAACTACATGTGTAAAAGTTTTTGGTTAGCAAAGGAGCATTTCATGCGAGAGGCGCACCAGTCATTGTCGGATTTTTTTTTTAATATTCACTGGTATTAAGCCGATATCTGTACCAGTAGGTACGCATATCCCAAGATGACGTCGAGCTTGACAGGTTCATGAGTTTACTCTGCTTGATTTTGTTATTTTTGTCATATTTCATTAAATGAATCAAAGTGAATTGTAGATATATTGAGTCTTAACAATTAGCTAGCGACAAGCAGAGTTGAATAAAACCGACAAATAAATCATATATCTCGTATGAAGGTGATAAGCGTACCTTGATGTTTTGGACGTAAAAACCATGTGTAAATGATATCGGCTAGTTTTATGTACCTGCTAGTTTTATTTTTTCTAATTCTTTGCATTTTAATAATTTGCGCATAAATGTATCTGTCAAATATTTCACAGGAACGTAGCATCGTTTTTGAAAAAAAAAGGGGGGGGGGAGGGGTTGGGGCAGCAAGAGAAAAAATTCAACATACTCGAAAATCCTATTTCGTGGGAGGTGTAAGGGGGGAGGGTAGGTGTTCCATCTTTCAGTACCAAATTTTATTAATACATTACCCTGAATTGACTATACTGCAACAAAAAAGGGGGAGCTAGCTGCCCTTTCAATGAATGAAATATATGTAGATAACGAACGGTATTCAAGCTCAAATGTCCTTTAAACAATACAAATCGGGAGCAGCTAGAGCAAACACACATTGCTCAACGCGTTATCGGCTATTCGGTTGTTATCGGGCATTCGGTGCAAGGAAAGTAAAGTTTAGAAAACATAGGTGATTTTAAATTTCTTAATTCAACGATAATTGCGTACTTCAGCAAACAAAGTTTGTGATCTTAGGCAGATAAATGATTATACTTTCAGCAGCAAAAAGAACAAACCAAATCACTCTCTTTCTAAAGATATACAGCTTTTTCAAATGATATTTTATTAAAATTTCGGAATATTTCATCACATTTTAGCTTTTGTAGAAGTCAAAATCAGATTATTCTATAAAACAAAACGGTTTATTTATTCTATGGACAATCATATACCTGAAGATAAGCAGACTGAGATCAAAAATCCAAATGAAGGGTTAGTTAATAGGCATCTAAAATGTCTCGTTAGGTTAAAACATGTTATCGTCAACAAGGTTGATGATGCAAACACGGACCTCTAAAATGTCAGAGGTGGGATCAGATGCCATGGAGGAGCGAGCATCCCCTGCCGACCGGTCATACCCGCCGTGTGCTCCTTGTCATGATCGTGAAATACGGAAAAATCCGCCGACAATGAATCTTTTCAATCGTGAAAAGTAAAGTTTGTAGTTTCAAGTCTGTAACAATGTTTTTTAAGGTGGAGAGGGGTTGAGCCACAGGAAAACATTCAGGATTTTTTTTTAAATGTTAAAAAGCAAAATGTTTACAAGCGATGAAGGGTAATAGGCTGTTGACAATTTTACAAAACTTAAATTCTTAAAACTGAGAAAGGAGGGGGAGGGGGTGGTGTAATACTCTCATTTTTTTTCTGCACGAAATATATTCTGTACAATACGGTGCAAGCGGTTCAACGCTACCACAGAAAAGTGTGGAAAGTGTGTGTTTGTGGGGGGGGGGGGGGGGGGTCTCAGACTAAATAATACCATGCATACAGGTGTATCTGCAAAAGACAGATGAATCCAAATCCAAATCTTATGTAGAGAAAGAATACATATACTTTTACATGTACCGGTAAATACAATGTATAAAAATGTTTGTTTGTTTGTTTGCTTAGTTGTTTAACGTCCCTTCGAGAATGTTTCAATCATATTGAGACGCCAACACTTGCTGGTGGGGGGCTGCAAATTTAGACCTGTACACGACACTTGCGGCTTTTGAGCAGAGAGAGAGAGAGAGAGATCTTTTTCGTGCCAGCATCTACTGCGACAAGGGACTTCGGTTTATACGGTCTTATCCTAAGGACCGGTCTCCACCTTATACAGTACGGAAATAATCCATACATTGTAAAAACAGTTTAGAAATGAGGCAAAAATAATAATTATATACATTTTTGTATGCTACGAAGAGATGCAAAAACAGATATATTCGAGGAGCCGTAACATATTTGGAGATTCGACCGTACATTATTTCGCCTACCACAATATCGAAGTGTATGCTTAAATCTTTGATAAAGTCCCAATATTTAATTACATTGTGACCCATATTCTTTTTCTTGAAATGTTGGGTTTTCTTTGGTGATTATTCAGATTTTGAGCGCTTGAATCATTTCCTTTGATTTAATGTATTGTATAAAGGTATATGTTGCAAATTTCTCTCTGCTTTATAGGTTTAAAGACTATATGTATATATCTTCAAATCATTTTAATTCACCAAGAGATTGAAGGGATATATAAGTATATCTATAGATGTAAACTCTCGAAGCTGTGGAGCTTTTCGACATCTGAGGATACATGTATGCGTACCTACTGGCACGGATATCGGCTTAATACCACTGATTTCGGTCACTGGAGCAGAGATTTTTTATACATGTATTTTCAAGAACAGATTCTTTATTTCCAAAATCTGCCAGCGTCCCCCTCTTAATTATCCCCCCCCCCCAATAGAATGAAAATTGTCGTGCCCTAAAAGATATTGATGATTTCTTTAAAAGAATAGATTGGATAGAAGTTTCTAATCTGAATTAAATTCAAACTATTCGGAAATTGAAATTATTATTTGTCTTCTGCATCAAGCGTATGAGAAAAGCATTTGGATTGAAAATTAACTTCAAGCTAGAATTTCAATCAATTTTTCTCAGACGTCCGACACGAATTCGCTTTCTATCACCAAATCATATGCGGCTTTTACCCAACCAACTCAGAACCAGCAGCATACTTTGTACATATCTTAGGACTATCTTAAGATACGTCTTTGGATGTAAAACAAAAGCATCTTAGGAATATCTTTAGTTAAGATGTCGTAATTGGGGAGGTGGGGCGTGGTCATGGGATCCGGTCCCCTTGGGAGTTGTTGAAATGATATTAATAGTAAACCCAATCCCTCTAGAAAACACGGACCCCTGTTACAATGGCATAGAAAGTCACATACATTTATACATCTTCTGTATATCTATAAAGGCAAAGCGATTTAACACCCCCTCCCCCTCCAAAACGAAATAGCTATATAAGGTATGGATAAGTTTATGGTTTTTTATCCTTGCTTGACAATAATGTCTGAGTCTTCTTTTTTTTTTTTTTTTTTTTGAGTGCGCGGCTCTGTACCCTCCTTCCCCCTCCGGAAAATGCCTGTATCCGCGCTTGATATGTATTGGTAATAATAAAATGTTTCAGAAATTTTATAAATAATCGCTATTCCTCGATTTTCATTTCAAATTTTTTATCAGGTTTGTCCATTCTTATCCCGTTTTCATGTATTGAGCTGTAATAGATATAATAAGATTTATTTTCAAAATGCCACTTCTTGTGGTTGTTCGTCCCCAGATGTAACAGACCCCCCCCCTCTCTCTCTCTCTGTAGAAAGGTTGGAGGTAGTGCCCGTCTGCATCCGCGCCGTAGTCACGCTTATGAACGTTTTAACCTGCTACATGTTTCATT